CTGGAGGTCTGCTTGGGCATCTATCTCCCTAACATTATCAAGACATAACCTAATGCCGAGAACCTTTTAGCTGATGAAGTTAGTGTCCCAACTTCATTAAGAACTTGAGGAACTATTTTTCTTTTGTTGGGTATGTAGAAGTCCAACTCCCCTGCTCTTTCTGTTCTCATTATCTGGTTATTAATTTCTTAAATTGTGATGCATCTGACTTTTGGCTGTTAAGAAACATTTAATGCAGTTAATGCTGAAGTTGTAGCTGCTTTCTACAGGCAATTCCACCTTTATTGCTAAAGCTATTGGCTGAAGCTTTTCGGACCACTTTGAGGTATGAAATCCCTTTGTTTATATATGTCGAATTCATGTTTCCGTCTGTCGTTCTCGTTTTAGACTCTAAATACTTTCTGTCATGTTTGGTGCTAATAATCTTAATAACCTCAATCTTTTTCTTGTGTAATGCTGCTAGTCCTCGTCTCTGTCAACAATAAAGACATGTCGCCGCCTCGTTATGATAAAACTCTTAAATGAGCCTTGTTCTAAGTATGGGAATAATCTAGGTTACTTTCAGTAATGCACACCTTATGGGACCTTATTTCACCTCCTTCTTAGACTCGTAATGAGTATGCATCTGGAAGGCTAGCTGAAGTGCTAAAAATAAATGTTCATAGACACTTTTTCTACTCGAGTCAAGACTGTAACTCTCAATCCTTGGAACTCGTATTGGAGCCACTTCGTAGAACAAACTACGAAGAATTGAAAATACTAAATCTATCAAAGAAATCATTCCTATGCAACTTGGTATAATGAGTTGGAAAGTAAAAGCAAGCGTGCTGTGGGAGCAATAGTTACAACCCTTGAATAACTGTCAAAAAGTAGTAAAAAGTTATCAGGAGAGCTTCACTTCAGTATCTTGGTAATGATTTAACTTAAAGTATGAACATGTGATGTACTATCAGAATTTAACTTGTTACGGCATGATATATTTGTGAGGGTTGCATGTGTAGCTTATCATATGGTCATATAGTCGCGGGCATTTCGACTGAATTTAATTCTTGCTGAGGAACTCGTTCCCCACATATTATGAATAAATATTTAGTTGTGTTATATTAACAGTTGTCACGTCTCTCACTCTTCCTATTTATCAAGTAAAGCCGCTTGTTCTCCAGACTTTTGTTCCCATAGGTTGTTTTATTAGCCTTCAAAGGGCTAATCCAATTTGTAAACTTCTCAACACCAGCCTTGAACTATTAGTGCAGTTGTTATATTTCCATCGTTCTGAAATCAAGCTGGTTTGTAATAGTAGAATGACGCCTTTATATATTTTCCTTGTGTAGAAAGAATTATCTGCATTAGGAAAGGAGTTCAGTTTAGTGCTCATGTAATACTGCATGCCCTCGGAAATTTTCTTGTTTCTGACTTTCTTTGGTACTTTCCAACAGGGATTGCCGCCTCTTGAGCCTGGTATATTCCATGTCTTTGACTTATCATTTCCCCTCAGGTATCCTTCTGTTTTTTTTTAGTTTTATGTACGTGTTATTGAAACGAATTGGCAGGGTATCGAAAACCTGTGAGGGCAAAGTCAAGCTGATAGGATGACTGTGGCCAAATGGAGTTGTGGTGGTTTGGATAGTTTGTAGTTTGCTTTCATATTAGGTCAGCAAATTGATAAGGTCTCTGAGCTCAAGAGGCGAGTAAAGTCGACTATTTGAATCCTTATTGTCCATGTCTCTTGATTTAACCCCGTCTTACTCTGATATTATGTTCAAGAATTTGTTGTAATGCTTTACTAATGAGTTGAAAATTGGATACTGAAGCCAACCCTCCCTCCCTCTCTACACTTTTTAATTCAACTAGAATATTCAAAACATAACAAGAAAAGTAGCCTAAACAGAGAATTAAAAGAGAACCAGAATCCTTGGCATATTCTGTGGAATTTGATGATTAATCCCTACTTTGGATGTCATGGGATCTCCATCAAAAGGACAATAAAGTGCCATTAGAGCCCCTATGCTTTGTCCTTAAATTTATTTTTAGTTGAAAAGGCTCAGATTATAGGCAACGGTTGTTGTCTCAAAAACCTTTGATGAAAGAGTGCCAAAAAGGGTTAAAGTAGCAAAATTTGTAAGCAAAGAGAACAATTACTATAGGTGAACCAAAGGTTGGATTCTACCAGACATAAAGGGAGTTTTCTATCATTAGGATGTAACTTTATGGTAAAAGTTACACAATTATTCATAAGAGTTTAAAATATGTGCATAGTTAAATAATTTTTATAGTGTCAGGTTATCCAAAGAATATCTATAGGCAAATCTCCTTAAAATGTAGGATTTATAAATTTGAATGTACACAGATTATCAGCTTAACAAGTAAAGATTAGAGGGAGATCTAGCCTTATAGTACAAGGTCATCTGAACCTAATATTTTTTATGCAAATCATAAAATTTATGTATAAAAGTTTACTATTATATGAACTTTAAGTTTCAAAAATACAATGGGTTCGATCTGGGTGAATGGCCCGGGCCCATGTAGAAGGTGTGGGTTATGATACACGAAAATCTGGGAATCGGTTGGAATTCCAGCTTTACGGCCCTAAAACACCAAAAACGGTCATGGTGAGGCGGTGACTATTGTTCCTTAGGACGTTTTTGATGGGCCAGTAAAATGTTAAGCAATTCGGGTCCGATGGCCCGGGTCCATGCAGAAGGCGTGGGCTATAGCACATAAAAATTTGAGAATCGGGAGAAATTCTAGTTTATGGCCCTAAAACACCAAAAATGGAGTAATGGTCATGGTGATGCGCTGACTATTATTCCATAGGTCATTTTTTATGGGCTGACAAAATTTAGGCGATCCGAGTCTAGTGGCCCAGGCCCATGCAAAAGGCGCGAGCTAAGCACACGAAAAGCTGGGAATCGGGCGGTATTCTAGTGTTATGGCCCTAAAACGTCAAAAAACGAGTAATAGTCATGTAGAAGGCGTGAGCTATGCACACAAAAATCTAGGAATAAGGTGGAATTCCAATTTTGTGGCTCCAAAACGCCAAAAAATAATTAATGGTGGTGAGACGGTAACTATTGTTCCCTAGGATGTTTTTGATGCGCCGACAAACTTTTAGGCGATCTGGGTCCCGTGGTCTGGGCCCTTAGCAGAAGGCGTGAGCTACATCACATGAAAATCTGGGAATCAGGGCAGAATTCTTGTTTTATGGCCCTAAAGCGCCAAAAAACGAATAACCGTCATGTCGAGGCGGTAACTAATATTACTTAGGAAGTTTTTGATGGGCTGGAAAAATTTAAGCTAATACGAGTTCGATAACCTAGGCCCAAGCAAAAGGCATGGGCTAAAGAATAAAAAATTCTAGCGATCGGGAGGAATTTCAGTTCTATGGTCCTAAAACGCCATAAAACGAGTAACGGTCATGGCGAGGCGGTGAATATTGTTCCTTAGGTCGTTTTGGATGGACCAGCAAAATTTAAGGCGATCCGAGTTCGCTGGCCTAGGCTCATGTAGAAGATGGAGGCTATAACACACGAAAATATGAGAATTAGGGCGGAATTCATGTTTTATGGCTTTAAAATGCCAAAAAACGAGTAATGGTCATGGCGAGGCAGTGATGATTGTTACTTAGTACATTTTTTATGGGCTAGCAAAATTTTAGGCGATCCGAGTCCAATGGCCCAGGCCCATGGAGAAGGCGTAGGCTATATCATACGAAAATTTGAAAATCCAGTGAAATTCTAGTTTTATGGCCCTAAAATGGCAAAAACGAGTAACCATCATAGCGAGGCGGTGACTATTGTTACTTAGGACGTTTTTGATGGGCCAGCGAAATTTTAGGCGATCCGTCTCCTGTGGCCCGGGCAGATGCAAAAGGGTGGGCTATAACATACAAATTTTTTGGAATCGGGCAGAACTCTAGTTTTATGGTCCTAAACCTAAAAAACGAAGTAATGGTCATGGCGAGGTGATGACTATTGTTACTTATGAGGTTTTTGATGGGCCGACAAAATGTGGGAATTGAGTGGAATTTCAGTTTTATGTCCCTAAAATACCAAAAGATAGGTAACAGTCATGGCGTGGCGGTGATTATTTTTTCTTAGATCATTTTTTACTGGCCGACAAAATTTTAGGCGATTAGGGTCTGGTGGCTCATGCAGAAGGCGTAGGCAAGGCGAAAATCTGGGAATGGGGCGAAATTCCAGTTTCATAGCCCTAAAATGCCAAAAATGAGTAATGCTCATGGCAAGGCGGTGACTATTGTTCTTTAGGTCGTTTTTGATCGACTGGTAAAATTTTAGGCGATCCGAATTTGTGTGGCTTGGGCCCATGCATAAGGCGTGGGCTGTAGCACACTAAAATCTGGACATCAGGCGGACTTTCAGTTTTATGGCCCTTAAATGCCAAACAAAAGTTTAACGGTCATGGCGAAGCGATAACTTTTGTTCCTTATATCATTTTTGATGGGCCGACAAAATTTAAAGCGATCTGGGTCCGGCGACCTGAGCCCATGCAGAAGGTGAGGTTATAGCACACGAAATATTGGAAATTGGGGCAGAATTCCAGTTTTATAGCCCTAAAATGTCAAAAAACGTGTAACGGACGTGACGATGTGTTGACTATTGTTACTTAGAATGTTTTTGATGGGCCAGCAAAAAGTTTTAGGCGATCTGAGTCCGATGCCCTGGGCCCCTGGAGAAGGCGTGGGCTATAGCATACGAAAGTCTGGGAATCAGGGCGGAATTCTTGTTTTAAAAAAACGAGTAATTGTCATGGCGAGGCGGTGAGTATTGTTACTTATGACGTTTTTGATGGGCTATAAAAAATTTAGGCGATCCGGTTTCGGTGGCTTGGGATCAAGCAGACGCCCAACCTGCTTCAAAATTGGGTTGGTTGATACTGGTGCCCGAAAGCAGTTGGTTGAACGAGACACTGGTTTGGCTGATGAGGTAAGGATGTTAAGACAACACATGACGTACATGTATCATGTTTGGATGACTGGGAAGGCACCACCCCCGCCACCTCCTAGCTTCATAAATGCTACCCTTACCTAAACATCGGTTACAGTGCCAGATGATCCCCCATACTCTCCAGATCCACCCGCTTATCATGGCTTTCCCAACCACCCTAGTAACTCAATCACTTATCTTCCAATTACCTTTCCCGAAAATTGCCCTCCTGTCTTATCCACCATCCCCAACAATGAACACCCACTCAAAGCTCACGATGCCCAATATTACCCCTCAGAGGTTGCCCACAAGGTTCCCAACTCATACAAGCAGGGCCCGCGGGATGAGCCTCATGTTGAAAATGAAAAGTTTACAAGAAGAAAAGGGCGAGATGGGATACCCAGGAGGCTGAAAGGCATAGAACAGTCCTTAAAGAACAAGCAAGGAATGGGAGACCAGGGTAGCATGTCTTACAAAGAATTGTTTATGTCCCCCGATGATCGTCTGCCTGCGGGGTTTAAAGTGCCAAAGTTTAACTTGTATGATAGGTGTAGAGATCCGGTAGCCCATTTGAGGGATTACTGCAGTGAAATGAGAAGTGTTGGCGAGAAACATGATTTGTTGATGGCGTATTTCAGTGAGAGCTTGACTGGGGCAGCTTTGGAATGGCATAATCGTCAAGATGTTGGTAAGTGGCTTACATTGGATGATATGGCTCAAGATTTTGTTCGGTGCTTTCAATACAGATCAGGTGTTACCCCAGACCGTTCCTCCCTATCTAAAATGGAAAAGAGGCCGGAGGAAAGCTTTAGGGAGTTTGGGCTCAGATGGAGGGAGCAAGCTGCTCAATTCAGTACCCCGATTGGTGAAAAAGAAATGGTTGAGCTTTTCCTACAAGCCTAGGGGCCCACCTGCTTCAGTCATTTGATCCCGGCCTTGGGTAAGCCTTTCAATGATGTGTTAAAAATGGGGGAGATGGTAGAAGAGGGAATCAAGTCAGGCAAAATCATGAGTTATTCGGCATTGAAAGATACTACGAAGGACATTCAGAACATCCTAGTAAGTTTGGGTGGAAGAAAGAGAAATAGAAAAGATGATCCGATGGGCCTTCCTGCTCAACACTTCCAACCTCGACATCGTCCCCGTGAATATCCTTGTGCACCAGATGACCCTCCCCAATGCTACTTCTCTCTACAAAACTCCCAAAGTCGTACATCACTTTCCCAGTACCCTGTCCACAATGCACCACCATATGCTCCACACCCACAAGGCCCGCGATGGCCCATACTACTTCCCCAAATGTCTTACTCGCCCCCACGAGCCTACCGAAACCCTCCTGGATTAGGTTTCCGGCCTAATCAAGCATTTAAGAACGAGAGGTTGTAGAGAAAGAAAACCTTCACTCCACTGGGAGAGTCATATGTCAGTCTGTTCCAGGGGCTAAGGAAATTGGATATGTTGAAGCCGATTCAGATAAAAATGTCAAACCCTCTTCCAAAGAAGTTTGATTTTTCTCAAAGGTGTGCATATTGCTCAGATGCCCCGGGGAATGACATAGAGAAGTGTTGGCATCTGAAGAAAGCAATTCAGAAGCTTATTGATGCAGGTGACATTGTCGTGCAAAATCCAGATGCAGCAGACACTAGCCAAGGGCCACCGCCTGTGCGTAATGAGACAATATGGTGGGTATGATTTATTTTGAAAAGGAATATGAGAATTCTTTTGAGATCCTCGGAGGTCCACGCGCTACGAAGCTTTCTGCGCTATCAGAGGTTGATCTTAAGAATGAGCAGGCACAGGGAACCCAAAAGCAATTTGTTAAGAACAATGTGATAGAGACTTGTGAAGGTCCTAGTATTGTTGATGCAGAAG